TTTGTGACAAATTGAAGTGTAAGACTAAAACCCTACAGCATTAAAATTGTGGCGATTAACCTGACTAGTTCTGTACTAAAATTACTACTCTACAATATATATTTGGATTTTATTTTATTTTATTTTATTTTATTTTATTTTATTACAAGAGGCCAAGGTCTCTTTCAATGACACTGGTGCAGTTTGTCGGACTGAATAATATGATTTCTGATTTTTAGTTTTTCTACTGAAGAGGATGCTGTGCCATTCCACAGCTGCCATCCCAGGGACTAAATCTAAAACAGCCGTGAGGTTCTGGGGTTACCTGGTCTCAGGAAAAGGTATATCTGTGTATTGTTTGCATTGTAGCAGTGAAATGATGCTTTGTATGTGGAAACATGTCCACATACAATTGGGCCTAAAACTGAACTGTTCATTTGAGCCAGCCTCAGATTCCTGGGAGTCCTAAAAAGGAACATTGTGTGGACATTGCATTGTATTTGAAGTGTGCTAGTGTTGACAGTTGATTTAGCAATATTACAGGCATTCTGATACCTTCTCACACACCTTCTCACAAAAAAGCAAATAAATGTGTTAAAATACAACAAATGTGTGTTGTGGAAGGGCAGGACATTATTCCATATCACACCTTTGGTAACACATTGAGTAGCAGTAATGACAAACAGGAAAGTATGTCATTTCTGTGTTTGCTGTTTCTAAAAATGGAATATAATGATTGTTAAAATACAATAATAACAATAATGATTTCAAATATTAATATATGGTAAAATAAAAAGTAAAAATAAATAAATAAATCAAATTGCTTAAAATTCAATTAGATTAAAATGGAAGAATCTTCTGCCAGTATCACTTTGATGAACCTGCCACAGTGTGTGAAATTGTGCCAATCTCTATGTTGCGACATACGTTGAAGTTAATTTTCCTTATGAGGGCTTCATTATTGACAACAGACAATAACAGCAAACACCACACATATCACTGTGTCGCTGTGTGGCTACATGAACGTGTAAAATCAGTTATTTTACGCTGTGATGAAATGGAAAAAACACCTGGTGAAACAATCACCACTGTTTAAGGTGTCACATCATTTAACGTTACAGTCACATTAAGACTGCATAGCACCCTCTATCCTTGGATAGCAATTATACAAAAAACAAATCAAAATCACAGTGACATGACAAAAAGGCAGAATCCTTAAATAATCCACAGGACTAAGGTTGTATCAGTCTAAGTTTCTGAGCAGGTGTATGTGAATTTAAAAGATCTACTGCAACGATCCCATTCTGTTGCTTCGGAGGGAATTGGAGCCACTTTATGGCCACTCTTGTCTGTCTAGACAAGAGAACAACAAGAGCAAAAAAAAAAAACTCTGGCTAGACAGCATCCATAATGCATGAGTCCACAGGGATCTTTCTGATGGGACACACTGTGTAATTTTTAAGTGTGCTTGTTACTCATAAACCAAAAAACGTCTGAGCCACCCATTGTCTTGTTCAGTGCATCTCACTGTTCTCACCTCACAGAGCTCCAACACATCACAGAGGCTGTGGAAAGGTGTCTTTAGTGTTTTTGTTTGTGTCACTTTACAGAATGTGTTTAGTCGATACACAGTAACTGGTGCAACCACTGAGATGGTTGATTATCAAACCAGTTTGCTTAATATGCACATATATTTGGTAATTCTAACAAATAAAAACTAAACCTCAAACTCCCTAGAGTTGTCAGAAGCCCCTATTATAAATTAGGTTTGTTTGACATTTTAAAATGTTGGATGGATTTTCATTTCACTGATGTAGGCTTAAGGTCTGCACTGTATGTCTTGGCCAACAGAGGGTGCTATTTCCTGAATCATGACGTCAAAATTCTACAAAGCATTTTGCAACTGTTTGGACGAGGCTCTCGTTAGGGTCCGAGCACCCAAAAGGGTGCAAAGACCCTATTGGAACTGCTCGGATTCTTCTTCTTATTATTCGTGACAAAGAGACGCGTTTTTGAGGCCCGTAACGTACTCGAAAACTCACCAAAATCACCACACACATCAGACCCGCCAAAAAATGTTATAATTTGGAAGAAAAATACACACCTCACTACAGAAATTGCTCCATAGCGCCATCTTGAAAATTTCAATGGAGTCCTGTCGGAAGCATGTTTGCCCTAGAGCTACGCAATTTCATAGGTATATAGAGGTGGTTGGCACGAACAAAAAAAATGCAACACAGCTCAACTGCGCCCCCTACAATATTTCTACAGAGTCCCATCAGCGCTACGTTTCACCTAGAACTACGAAATTCGCCACACATATGTAACAACTCGGGACGCACAAAAGAGTCCATT